TCTCTTTTGTTTGTGAACCGATTTTCTTTTTTAAATTTTGTTTAGTAGGTAGCTATTGACGTGCTTTAGTGTTATTAATAAAAAAAATTTGGATATAGTTGGTTTTTTGTTCTCAACCTTCGATATATTAAATTCATTGATATAGATACAATAATTATAAATTATTATTGTCTAATAAAATTAGTCTATAGCGAAAATGGGCATCCGGACGGATAGAGGTTCGCGAAAAACAAAAATAGTAGTTTGTGCAACAAGTTGTACAGTATATTTTTTTACGACCCACTAACAAAAATCTACAAATTTTAAAAATTATTTTAGGTTAAGGCAAAATATCTAATTTTTGAATAATTTATGACTTGAACTGATTTATAAAATAAAATATGAAAACAAAAAGATTGAATTTAATTAGTCGCCAGCTCAGATTTGAACCCGGTCCTATCGCGTGGAAGACAGATGCCGTATCCTCACGTCTCCCGTCTCATGTCCACACTTAGGGTTTTAGTTTTAATACTCGTAATTAAATTAGTTTCATATATTTTAATTCAAATTTAAGATTTTTTCAAAATAATAATAAATCACGATACACACGGTATGTTCCTGCGCATACAGCTGACTGCCGGTGACATCACGTGGGACATAGAATTATAAGCATTAAATGGGAGATAGTGTTTAAAATTCGATATTTTGCCAATTTTAAATTTTATGCAGTTACTTAAGCTTTATTGGTTATTTTGTAATTTATTCGTTTACAAATATGAAGCTTTAAGGTAAATAATACTAATAAAAATATTAAAAAATAATAAATGTTCCTCATAAATTGTAGGTATTTTGTGATAAAATACATAACCTGGCCCTAAGATAAGTAAAAGATATTGACTAAAAATACAAGTTTGACTTAAATTTGTACTTTCTGAGAGTAGTATACTCTGTTTTTAAACTAGGAGGAGCGAATTGAAAAGACGCATTTACACAGAGAAAAGTAACTAGATTTGTTACTAAGAGCGAGTTTCGAAATATAGTCGTGTTCAAAATTTATGAAATAATTATCTTTATCGGCCTTAGTCGGTGAATGGCCAATGAGCGGTTAGGAAACGAATAAATGTCATAGAATTAATTTTTTAATTGGTTCCAGACAACGGTCGCAAATTTCACATTATTGTGATCTGAAATGTGTGTCTAAAACGAAATGTCACTGTCAAATTAAAGTCAATTAGGCATTCCAACGACCTGTCAAACAATAGGTGCCAGTGGGAAATTCTTGTATATTTAAGGGGGTAGCGACATAGTCTTGCAACTTGCACGCTATTTTTATTCGAAGTAGTACTCGCCTAGCCTGCCAATTTATGAAGAAATGTATAGGTGGGTTTTTTAAATATTATTTTTATTGTGTTTGACATAAAATATTTAAATGTAATCCATTATTCATGATTTTACGTAAAGTAGATAGAATACACCATATGTCGCCACCCTTAGATATACCAAACCTGCCCACTGGTAATTCATTTGTTTGGAATGCCTAATATGGTTGTTGATTGATGTCAGAAATACTTTTTTCTTACTTTTGAAATCGACTTTTTGAGAATAACTATGATCTTTTTAAAATGGATATTAAATATTTAAGAAAATTGTTAATGGAATATCTAGATGTAGCCAGGTTAGTATAAAATATAAAGATCTGTTTACATTTTTAAGGATATATTTGTTATAGGTATAAAAAGTAAAAGTTAATCAGTGAATGACAAGTGGATCACACAGTAACTGGTATCCCTTCTATGATTAATGTGGATATTATGGCTTATTTAGTGTTAACCCATGGTTAATGCGCTAGAGGGCAAATAAAGGCATTCAAAAGTTTACAGGCCTATGAGTCAGAATTTGTTTTGAAAACTGGAACCAACATTTTCAAAACACTACATGTCAACATAATTTTTTTAAAGTGAACTATTCATACATACCTATGTATTAATTTTAGATATTTTTAAAATATTTTTTGTGAAAGTAATGTTAACTCATTGTGCCAAATTAAGATTATCCCTAAAGTAGTAGATGGTGCTTCATATGTTATAACAATTTTGTAAATAGTTTTATTCTATTCTAATAAATAAAATTTGCTTAAATATTTAGTTACATTTTAATTATTTTGGTTAGAAATTCATCAATTTTTAGTTTTAAAAAATTAGTAATAAAATTATTTTTTTCTAAAATACTTCGGAATTCATCTCTTCATGGTAATCTCCCATCTTTTTACCTTCAAAAACCAATAATGCATTTTCTACAAAACCTTCAGAATCAGCATGTAAAATAATAAGGTGTCTTCCCTTTCTTGTAAGGCTTTTCAGGAATTGCTACCTTTAATAGTACTCATTGTAGAAGGATCCATAATTGTAGATTTTCAACACAATTGCTTACTGAAGAACTATTATTTACGAAATAAAGTAAAAAACTAAGTAATGGATGAGATATCAAATTTTAAAATGTCAGAACTGTCAACAATATCAATTATTAGCTGATGTTCATGCTAAAAAGTAATGTGTGAAACTGACTGTAATCTGACCAATCAGAAGGCTACAGAATTGCCAACTTAAATTCAAATCGCTCCTCTTAGTTTAAATACAGAGTATAGTTCTCTTGAAATCTCTTTTCTTTATGTAAAATAAAAATAAATGTGCAGAAACAAATTATTTATTTACAAAAAGTAAGAACACAAAAACATTACTTTTTATTTGGTAAATTTAAACATTCTTTGTCAAGTTTACTTTGAAAATACTCAAAACAAATTTTCCTGTTCATTTATCTTATTCTTATATATGTTCGTGTCCTGCTCATATATGGCATTACTTCAAAAGGACCGTTGTATTGGGACAGGAAACTACTGTTTTATCTGCTGAAATTTTTAAATACCGATTTATTTTCTTTGTTTAATGATGCCCGTGTACCTGGTGGAATTCAGTTTTCTTTTCTTGCGTCTATGTTTAAAAAGAATCTCATAACTACTTTCCTCAAAATGGGTAGGGCAATTTCAATTAAGTTTGTCCTTTCTTCGATAAGAATTTACCCATATTTTGTGGCATTCGGAAATATCTCCACAGCTCAACCCGGCATTTTAAACATTAATTTAGTTGTTCCCTGTTATATATAGGAAAATATAGTCACTACTAACACAAAAACATATAAATTATTAAATTAATTTACACTATTCAATCGAAAAGTGTCAAAATAACTTGAAAGTTCGTCCCGCATTACGTCATGCGCGGTTTGGACGAATTTTGAATCGAAAGTCAGCATACCTTTAGTATGTGTATCCTGATAATAAATAAGCTGTTATTTATCGTTTCTATACAAAAATAACTCATTTTAATCTAATGTATATATAATCTCAATACCTAAAAAATATACTAACAATTAATTTGACAGAATTGCCACTTATTTAAAAATTTTTAAAAATAATAGTAGTTGGGTGTCCAAAATATGATCTGTGACTGGTAGATTTAATTTTTTTGCAGTGTTCTCACTACCTAGAATGAATATGAGTTAAGTTGAACGAAATAGCATACTTTTTCGTTTTGTAGCTTGTGCGTAGATAATAGAGCTGTGGCAAACCGTATGTATTCGTTACTCAGTAACGGGTAGTCGGTCAGATACGAAATACGAATTCGTTACTGCATTTTAAATTTCGTTACTCGCATCCGCATCGTCGCATAACGCACAATAATAATACTTGAGAATACATACCGCCACCGGTTCGGTGTGCAAGATGCGAGATGGCCCGATGGGCGATGCGAAATGCGAGTGTGGCCTTGATGCGAATCGACTATCGAACCGCACGTCGACTGGGACTCTGAGAGTTCGCAACGTACTTTTGTTTATATTTATGTATTTATTTATTTCAGTTTTAAAGAATAGTATAATAGTTGTTTTTCTGTTGCGTGTTGCAAGAATATAATATGTTTTTGTTTGTTAAAGTTATGATTTTATAGAGTATTATTATTGTTTCTACTAGTGTGTTAGAAAAATATGTTTCTGTTCAACCTGTCTGACGATATTTTATTTTGCAAAACTTAACATCAGTTCTCATTGCTCATGCTCAGTGAACTACACGACTTTGTTACAAATTACAAATTCGCTATGTATTTATTTAACCAACGATTCGATATTTAATTTCATCCACACCCTCTGTTAGACAGTACCAAAACCTAACAACCGAAGCAATGCGTACGTACGATTAGTTACCGACACCAATTCCGCATCCGCATAGACGTGTATGAGGTCCACACGATGCGTGTTCTGTAGATTCGTATCACAGTAACGAAAGTAACGAGTAACGAATATTTTTATACGGGTAGTCAGATCCGAAGTAACGAATACATACGGGTATTGAGTTTCTCGTTACTTTTACAGCTCTAGAGATAAGCTAATATTTCACACCTTCCAACTTACCCCTATCCCCACTTCACACCCACTAAGTGTAGGTATGGTGAAATATTTTTTTCATAATTCGAGTATTTTGAGATATTGATTATAGATAAATAAAAAATTAGAATAATTCGAAGAGTAGACCGACCTTCTTTCCCATCCCTTTTTTTAATACCTTTTCTAGGCTGTTAAGACGGAATTTGCAAGCCAGGAAATTCATAACATGATTATTTTCGATATGACAGGGTGCAAGCTGAAGTTGGATATAATAGAGCGATGGGGGTTTCTTACACCCAAACCCCCTATTTTAGGGGCCTCAAGAGTAACCTCAAAATAAAAATTGTGTTTCATATCATATCAATAAATGTGGGTTTTTAAATTGTGTGGGTTATTTAATTGATTTTATTTTTTATTTAATTATAATGGTAATGACTGAACTATGTTGTATCGTAAGTACACATAAAAGTTTATGGTTGTAGATATACAATAAACGAATGTATTAGAATAACAAAAAATGTTAGAAACATGCAAATGCAAATCATTTAAAAAAATAAGTAATTGAAATTGTAATAAAAAATAGCACTAACCTTCCAATGATACCAATTTTTTTTTGTGACATTTTGTAGCCTTCTATTGGAGATACTTTTACAAGCCCACTTGTCGATCAAGTGTTGCTATTCGACTAAAACCTTTTACTGTAAGTTGTCATTTATTTATTATGGATTAGTCGATTTATCTAACATTCATTAGAAGATAAGAACTTATTTTAATGATTAAAAAGGTACTCAAAAATACACTCTTAGGATGATGTATTAATTATGTAATAATTACGTACGATTAATACGTTTTAAATGAATATTTGATGGATAATGTACTAACGAGCTAAGACACAACTGAATTTAATCAGAAACTGAACATAATTAATTAGAATTCCATTATAAAAATGATGAAATATTTTCCCATAAGATTGATCGATAGATAGAAGGTTGAAATTGAAATATTTAGGTCGAAAATATGCCACACTCTAGACAAGTAAGAGTAAAACGTGTTGCATATAACATAGATGTACTAAGGGGCCTATTCAGTAACTCAGACGACTTTTTTTATTCAGTAGACAACAAGGGTATGGTCTGTGTAGACAACGATTGTCGTTGAAAATAGACAAATATGGTTGTAAAATTGTCGTTCATCAACGATAGCCAAAGAGCTGTCGTTAATAATATGAAGTGTCGTTATATATTTCCATTATTTCTCAAAGCACTTTTTTACAAATTTTACAACTTAAATTGCCATCTACCTAATACAGCAAGTACAATTTGTAAGAAATTTTTTTCTAACTTATTTAATTATTTTAAAAATAAATCTGATTTAAAGTTAGGATTGCCCATTCGACCATTTACTATTGAATTCTTATTAACAGTGCTGTTCCTAAAGTAGCACTGCGAAACAGTAATAAAACCTATATTATGGAAGTACCTATTATAATAATACTACTCCGTAACCTACACAGAAAGGCTAATGGTCTGAGTTGTCAGGAAGCAGGATTGATAGTATCAAATTTGGTTTGTGTCTTTCAAATTCAATAAATACAACTCGTACTGTTCTCGAGTTGTTTTTTGTAGGTATTCTTTTGGAATAGTTCCGTTTTTTTTAATATAACCATACTCATTTAAATAAACCCTACATAGGTACAATACGACCAGCAAATGGTCCGCGAGAAACAGAATTCCTACCAGTCGAGAATCGACCCCCTGATCGTGTTGTAGGTAAAGAACAATTAATATATTCTGAAAAACAAATGAATATATCTACTGGTAGAATTTTTATTTTACGTTCCAAAAAAATGTCAAATACCTATACCGGGTGTTCAAATTAAAGTGTTACAGTTAAATACCGCCTTTTATAAAAAAAAACAAAGTTTTATAGTTTTTGGAGAAAACATTTTGGCTGAAATCGTTTTTTTATAACCATAATACCTAAGGCCAACTTTTTTTACGGGCAGCAAAATTTTCAAGTAGGTGTTACTCAATAAGTAGAAGTGCAATAAAAAAATGTTTCCTTTAGAAGTTTCTTATTTTTTTATGAACTCTGAGAATACCTATGTAAAAAAATAGGGTTCAAATTTGAAAAAAAAAATCCACCTCGATATGGCCATATTATAATCAGCTATAAAAAAATTAATTTAACCAAAATGTTTCCCCCAAAAAACTATAAAACTTTTATCTGAAACTTTTTTTTTTTAAATGTATATTTTCGGCGGTATAAGTAAAAATGCTTTTTATTTCATTCCCGTGCATACCATTAATATGGAAGAAAGTTATACGGTTGTTACTGATAAGTACGATTAGGTTTTAAATATGGGTTGTAATTAACTGAACAGTATATAATTGATTATGTACAGTATAAATATTACAAGCAGTCAGTAAAATATTGTAAAAGACTCAGTACTTTTATAAAATATGATGAGTAAACAATGAATTTTGGGGCAGTAAAATTATTATTTGGCCTGTATTTCTATGTTCACTTTTGTAACTATAATGGTCAGTAAAAATTAATGAAATGTCAGTATGAATTAGCCGGTAATAATTCTACAAATGGTCAGTAAAAATTAATAAATGGCCAGTATGCAGCAGTCGGTAATAATTTTAAAAATATGCATTAAATAAGTAGTATTATGTTTTTAGATCGAGTGTTTCATGTTTTTGAGCTACCGGTTTGCAGCAAAGAAGAAACTGAAGATTTTGTTTTCTGTTTAAAACAATTAAGTCTGCCTGTCAGGATATATTTCAAAAATCAATTGCCCCAAAATACACTCGCGTATCGGAGACAACACTAATGATTTGTAATTGAGGTGGTGGGTATGTTTGTGTGAATGCGTCTTGTTTGTTTTCATTTACTAGCAGTAGTATTTTATAAACCATAGAAGCAAATTTCACATACATGAACAAATAATATTAATGCCGTGACAACAAGAAGACAAAGCAAAGACTTCTAGTATGGTGTCGGCTTCGCCGCCACCAAAAAATTTTAATCCATACCTGGCTACGCCGACCGGCATAAACACCAACGGCCTGGACACAGCTCACCTACTCTGTCAAAAGGAGACCGATGTACAAATAAAACGCGTATTATTATACCATTTATTATTTTCACCGTCCATTTAATATTATACTGACCATTTATTATTTTTACTGACCATTTATTATTTTCACTGACCATTTATTATTTTTACTGACCATTTATTATTTTTACTGACCATTTATTATTTTTACCGACCATTTATTATTATACTGACCATTTAATATTTTCACCGACCATTTAAAATTATACTGACCATTTATTATTTTTACTGACCATTTATTATTTTTACTGACCATTTATTATTTTTACTGATCATTTATTATTTTTACTGACCATTTATTATTTTTACTGACCATTTATTATTTTTACCGACCATTTATTATTATACTGACCATTTAATATTTTCACCGACCATTTAATATTTTCACCGACCATTTAATATTATACTGACCATTTATTATTTTCCCTGACCATTTATTATCTTACTGACCAACTGAAATAAAATAATGGAAAAGTGTACTTGCCATAAAATTTAAATAATGATCATTTGATTTGTGCCGTTTAAATATTAGCACAGCTTATATAACACAGCTAAAACACTCTCTTGGCGGCAACGGTTTGCGTCGATTTCGTCGCGCATCGCTTAAGCTCCGCCTTCGAAGGGAAAAGACGGTTTTGGCGTTCAGAAGCGTACTTAGGTAAGGTGTTTCGTGGAGCCTATAATTTCGTTGATTTTGTTTGAGTTAAAGGTACTGTTATTGTTTTGGTGACTCTTTAGCTGTGAGTAGAATGAGTGAAAAAAAAGACATCATTCTGTTTGTGCAGTCAAAAGCTGTTTCAATAAGGGTTATACCTACAAGAAAACATTCTTTAGTTTTCCCAAGGACCCAAACCGATAAGTACCACATTATAAGAAATTTTCATTATTAAAAATACAATTTATACAGGGTGTCCCATTAGTGCGCTATTGTTCATTATTTTGTTGTAGACACGTAAGAAAGTTTTAAATAAAATGTATGTTTTTTAAATGGAACACCTTGTATTTTAAATTATTGTAAAGACGAATTGTTACAGAAAAATTTAATCAGGTATGTGTGTGGTTACCTTTTAATAAAAGCCTTGCGGATCCACTCCTGCGATACCTGTCTTAAATATAACAAAGATCACGTTGAATTAGATGATTTTTCTTTATATTGCTTTTTAAAGGCATATGATAACGCCAGTTCAGATACATTTGGAAATCTGCAACTGTCAAATGATGAATTTGTAGAACTAATATTCAATATTGAAAAGATATTTCAAAATAATTTTGAAGAATTGGCTACAAAAAATAACATTTGTACCACACTTTTAGAATTAATTAACCCAATACCCTTTAGTCATCCATGCTAACGTTTTCCAAAAAAATAACTTATTTTATTGTATGTTTAATCTCAATAACTAAAAAATATACTGACAATTAGTTTGACAGAATTGTCATTTATTTAAAATTTTAAAAATAATAGCAGTCGGTTGATCAAAATATGAACGGTGATTGGCGAATTTATTTTTTTTTGCAGTGTTCTCACTACCTAGAATAATTATGAAATATATTCGTTCAATTGAAGGCAATAGCATACTTTTTCGTTTTGTAATCTGTGCATGGATATTAGCCAATCTACGCACATACTACAAAACGAAAAAGTATGTTATTGCGTTCAACTACGAATATATTTTATATCCATTTTAGGTAGTGAGAACACTTTAACAAAATTAAATCTACAAATCACAGTTCATATTTTGGTCACCCAACTCCTATTATTTAAAAAAAATTAAATAAGTGACAATTCTGTTAAACTAATTGTCAATATATATTTTAGTTATTGATATTAAATATACATTAAAATTTTTGTGTAGACTCGATAAATAATAGCATTTTGGTTTTTATTGTGTCCACATTTAAAAAAAAATTAATTTTATTCAAACTACATGATACTAATTTAATTACGAGTATTAAAACTAAAGTCCTGAAAGTTTCGGTGAAGATGAGGACAGAGCATCTGCCTTCCACGCGAAAAGCCCTGGATCGAATCTAGGCCGAGGACTAATTAATTTTTCATGTTTATTTTATTTTATAAATTAGTCAACTTCGTAAATTATTTTAAAATTAGTTATTTTGTCTAAATAACCTAAAATAATTTTTTAAATTTGTAGATTTTCGTTAGTGGGTCGTAGAAAAAATATACTGACCATATCGAGTGGATTGTTCATATCACAATCAGACGATTGAGTACTCCGCCTACGACGTCGTGCTCAGACTTCGTCTTTGTGTGATATGGCTATCATATCCACCCTTGTTGAACAAACTACAATTAATTTGTTTTCTTGGTTTAAGTTTTACATCAGAAATAGGAACTAAATTAATTTACTTTTCAAGTTTTCTTGTAAAAATCGATATTACTTTCTCCAAGTACAAATTTAGTACCTACCTAAAATAAGTACTAATTATGTAATATCGTGTAATATTGTAATTCAAATTTCACATTACTATAAAGTTTCAAAATTCCCTACTTCGGTATGGTCAGATAAAAAATCTGATGTGTCCAACACATGACTTTCCTATCTAGTTATTATAGGCATTTTCCGGTTATTTTGTACAACCTATTGCAGCATCTCTATAAATGTTTAGAGGATAAACTAAATATATACATTTTACACATACATCTACCTCGAAACATTTTTTTATAGATATTCATTGAAAACGAAAATACAGAAAAATTTAAATTTAGCACTTTTCCATTACGGTCCATTTTAGAAAAATCATGTATAAACAAAAATTATAGAAATCGATATGGCAAACAACTTTTAGTTCAACAATTTTCATAAAAATCAGAATTTTGCACATTTTGTCAAATTTCTCGAATACGGACCATTTCAGGAAATTTTGACATTAAGCATAAATTATAGATAATAATATTAGAAGTAACTTTTATTTGAACAATTTTCTTCTCCAA